TGTGCACCCCCAAAGGGTCTGTGAGCTTGTGCACCCCAAATTTGCACCCCTAAAGGGTCTAATGTGGGTGTGAGTGTGTAAATGTGCACCCCAAAGGGTCCCATGGGATGTGAGTGTGTAAAGTGTGCACCCCAAAGGGTCCCATGGGGGTGTGAGTGTGTAAGTGTGCACCCCTAAAGGTCTCAGTGGGATGTGAGCGTGTCATTGTGCACCCTAAAGGGTCTGCACGTTTGTGCACCCCAAATTTGCACCCCTAAAGGGTCTAATGCGGGTGTGAGTGTGTAAACGTGCACCCTAAAAGGTCTGTGAGCTTGTGCACCCCCAGTGTGCACCCCTAAAGGGTCCCATGGGGGTGTGAGTGTGTAAACGTGCACCCCAAAGGGTCCCATGGGGGTGTGAGTGTGTAAGTGTGCACCCCTAAAGATCTCAGGGGGATGTGAGTGTGTAAGTGTGTGCACCCTAAAGGGTCTGCACGTTTGTGCACCCCCAGTGTGCACCCCTAAAGGTGCCACGGGGGTGTGAGTGTGTAAATGTGCACCCCAAAGGGTCCCATGGGGGTGTGAGTGTGTAAGTGTATGCACCCCAAAGGGTCTGTGAGCTTGTGCACCCCAAATTTGCACCCCTAAAGGGTCTAATGCGGGTGTGAGTGTGTAAGTGTGCACCCCAAAAGGTCTATGAGCTTGTGCACCCCCGAGTGTGCACCCTTTAAGGTGCCACGGGGGTCTGAGTGTGTAAATGTGCACCCCAAAGGGTCTCTGAGCTTGTGCACCCCCAGTGTGCACCCCTAAAGGTGCCACAGGGGCGTGAGTGTGTAAGTGTGAACCCCCAAAGGGTCTGTGAGCTTGTGCACCCCGAGTGTGCACCCCTAAAGGTGCCACGGGGGTGTGAGTGTGTAAGTGTGAACCCCTAAAGGTCTCAGGGGGATGTGAGTGTGTAAGTGTGCACCCCTAAAGGTCTGTGAGCTAGTGCACCCCAAATTTGCACCCCTAAAGGGTCTAATGTGGGTGTGAGCGTGTCATTGTGCACCCCCAAAGGGTCTGTGAGCTTGTGCACCCCAAATTTGCACCCCTAAAGGATCTAATGTGGGTGTGAGTGTGTAAGTGTGCACCCCTAAAGGTGCCACGGGGGTCTGAGTGTGTCATTTGTGCATCCCAAATTTGCACCCCTAAAGGGTCTAATGCAGGTGTGAGTGTGTAAACGTGCACCCCAAAGGGTCCCATGGGATGTGAGTGTGTAAAGTGTGAACCCCAAATGGTCCCATGGGGGTGTGAGTGTGTAAATGTGCACCCCCAAAGGGTCTGTGAGCTTGTGCACCCCAAGTGTGCACCCCTAAAGGTGCCACAGGAGTGTGAGTGTGTAAGTGTGCGCCCCAAAGTGCCCTGTGGTGATGTGAGCGTGTAAGTGTGCACCCCAAACTGTGCTATGGAGGTGTGAGTGTGTAAGTGTGCACCCCAAAAGTGCCCTATGGTGACGTGAGCGTGTAAGTGTGCACCCCAAAGTGCCCTACGGTGATGTGAGCGTGTAAAAGTGTGCACCCCCCCAGATCCCAGGGGGACGCGAGCGTGTAAGAGCGTGTAAACGTGCAGCCCCACGGGTGCACGTGCGAAGCCCTGCGGGCCTGCACGCTCGTGCACGCTCGTGCACGCTGGTGCACGCTGGTGCACGCTGGCAGGCGTGCAGCCCGGGCGCTCTCACGTGAGCAGGCGTGTGCCCCCCGGCGGGGGGGGGGGGCTGTGCACACGCGTGTGTGTGCCCCATAGGACCCACACGCGTGTGTGTAGCCCCATAGGACCCACACGCGTGTGTGCACGCACCTGTGTTAGCCCCATGGGGCCCACACGCGTGTGCACACGCACACGGGATC